GCATGCACGTGTGTGTGTGTGTGTGTGTGTGTGTGTGTGTGTGTGTTTGTGTGTGTGGCTGCTTGTACTAGTCCGGACTGATGCCGATTTATAGTGCTAGCTCACTGAGATACCATGCCGCAGTTTAACAGGAATACCTCACTCAGACACAGTATCCTGACTCCGAGCCGACCAGTCCTTGTTTTAGCCCCTTAATGCCGAGCGCCAGACAGGGTAACAACAAGTACCATCTTTTAACGTCTTTTGGTATGCCGCGGTCGGGGATCGAACACCGGACCTTCCGCTCTCCGGGCGGACGCTCTACCACTAGACCACGGAGGCGGTCTAATCGTATTATTAAGAACCAATCAATGAAGCCACACTCTTACTATACAGGTTTCCTTTTAGCCATGGTCACAGCAGCCAGAGTTTCTGAGCTACATGATATCGAAGCTCTTTGAATATCTTCAGAGAAGGAGCACGCTCGATTGTACACGAAAGGCTGTGTAATGTTGGAGCTGCTGGTATGATCCTCGGCATAAAGGAAAGTGGTAGTCATCCCTCATCATATACAGACTGTAGTCTTGTGGGTGTTTTTTGTCACAAAGAAAGAGTGGCCTCACAATGAGAACCATATTCCGGAACCTGTTCACACACACTGGATGTGCTGAAATAGAAAGATCCCTCCACTTCTAACTGTGGTACAATATCATCATCTGTCCTAATTGTAACACACTAATATAATTATGAACATGTCTTTAACATTTTTCTTCCTTTGAATGTTTTTTAATGACACATGGGACTTATATCAATGATTCATTAAGTTAAAAATTCGTATGGAAACGGACAGATGCCAGTTTCTTTGAATGAAGTAAAGATTTAGGAAACTGACAGGTAACCATGCCCGTTTGATAAATTGAAACATGTTATATAAAGATTTTGGTAAAATGCCTTTGCTGGCACCACCCACCCCCACCCATGTAGAGTACACCCAAAAGGAACTACCACTCAAAACATATTTGTGTTTTGTGTGGGTTTTCTTTGGTTAATATCCGAGAGTAGATCAAGCCATGTAGTCGAATCGGTTTAGAAAGCTGTAATCTGATTTGTTCAAGAAACTGGTGCCTTCTTTCCGAGCTACTGAGAGGTTTCAGTTTCAGAAGTCCATGATTAATTCACCTTTCCAGACGAATTCATGGGACTCAGTTGAGAAACCACCTTTTTGTTTGTTTGGTTGTTGTTGAACGCCGAAATATTCAAGCTATATGACGGCGGTCGGCAAGTAATCGAGTCTGGAACAGACAATCCAGTGATTGACATGATGAGCATTGATCCACGCAATTGGGATACGGTGACATGCATCAACCAAGTCAGCGAGCCATACCACCCGATTCCGTTAGTCGCCTCTTACGATTCTCAATTGGGATCGATGACATGCATTAACCACCCGATCCCGTTAGTCGCCTCTCACAAGCAGAGTCGCCTTTAACGACAAGCATGGTTGCTGAAGACCTATTCTTCACGGGTGTGAAACCACCTGAACCCACGGGGTGAAATTGTAGCCCGGCATCCTCACGGAGTAGAACTGGCCCCAAGCAACTAGTACTGGTCGAGAGAGGCGACTTCATGAATCGGGTGGTCAAAGATGATTAAAACATGTACTTCCTCAGCTGTAGCCAAGTTAAAGGTCAGTTTTAAGTCCTAACAATATCTTCTATGCCCAGTTTCTTTAACACAGTGGAAGATGGACATGGCTTCGCGAGATGCTGCAGATCATAACGTCTGCAAAACCGCGATTCGCTGTGTAGAGTTGCGTCCCTTGGGCATGCCAGAAAACAGGAATCATTGTGGGTTCGAATCCCGGTTCCCCGATTATGTTTCTAGGTTTGTCAGCACCATACCCGTGCTCGTGGGTTTCACCGAAGTGGTAAACGTCCGAGACCTGCATCACTTCGGGCTTTCCTCCCACATTAAGCTGACACGCCGCGATGTAACTATAACACTGTTAAAAGCGGTGTTAAACCCGACTCACTCAGTCATGCCTGTGGCCTTCATTGCCAATTGCAACGGTTATACAAGCATATACTGCCATTGAAAGACAGGTGTTGCTTCTGTCATGTCACGTATTGCATCAACAATGAAATGCGCTTGCTTCAAAATATACTAGCCACATAAAGAAACTGTGCACGGAGAAAATATATTCTGGATTGAAATACAACACAGCAAGAACAAAATGATGCAGACGCTGTAGCAGCTGAATGATCGGACCATAAGAAAATGTCAACGGGACCTGAACAACATCTGTTACGATGACGTCAGAAGATCAAAATGGAGTAGGGGGTCAAACGACAAAGTCACAAAGTCAATAACGGGTATGACCACCCTATGCGTGAATCACAGCAGTGCATCGGCGACGCATGGAGTCCACCAAATGGGCATGGAAGGCCTGGGGAATGGCCTGCCATATCCTCCTCAAATCCTGTGCCAAGTCACGGACGTTATCTGGAGGATGTGGAAGACGACGCAGACAGCGCTCCATTTCATCCCACACATGCTCTATTGGGGAGAGATCTGGAGAAATTGCAGGCCATGGCAGTAACATGACATTGTTATGGTGAAGGAAATCCATTGCGACCCTAGCCGTGTGAGGACGAGCGTTGTCCTGTTGAAATGTCAATCCCGGGCCATGACGTTGCAGGAAAGGAATGACCGTAGGCCTCAGAATCTGATCTCTGTAGCCAACACCGGTGAGATTGCCCTGAACAACCACCAAAGGGGTTCGGTGCCGTGCTGTTATCCCACCCCAAATCATCACAGAGCCACCTCCAAAACAAATCCTCTCCACAATACAGTTGCGTGTATAACGTTCTCCCAAACGCCGGTAGACACGTTGGCGCCCGTCAATGTGGGAAATGTTGAACCTCGATTCATCTGTAAAGACAACATTTCTCCACCATATTCGAGGTTGGCGAACATGATTTCGACACCATCTTTGACGGTTAACTCGATGACGGTGTGTCAGGGATGGGACGTATGGCAGGGCGTCGTGGTCGAATCCCGTACTGATCTAAACGATTCCTGACAGTGTTGGGACGGATACGGCGCAGTCCAGGAATTGTCTGGGACGTCGTTACTGCCGTTTGGAACCTGTGTCGGAGATGTGTCACTCGAATCCATCTGTCCTGTCTTGGCGTCGTTACTCGGGGACATCCTGAACGTGGGTGGTCGGCAACGTCGTTTGTGTTCTGATAACGCCTCACCAATGCCGATATCGTGTTACGATGGCATTGGAAATGTGTTGCCACCTGTTGTTGCCTCATTCCCGCTCGGATCATTCCAATGGCTTCATGACGCTGTGCAGCTGTCAATCTTGGCGTGATTTGCTTGTGATATGCTTGTGTCTGCGCCTGAGAAGTTTTGAATTTCCACAGATCATGCTTTCCAAAGTGACAGCGAATTTTGAGTTGCACATGCTGTGTACAGCTGCACAGGATGCACGTGCAGTAACACATTGCACGTCCATAGCCCCCCATCAATGACGTCATATCGCATGGCACGTGCATGAGCGTTTGAATGTCTCCAATAATTGCTGTGTTCAAACCTATATTTCATATATGGACGGTGTGCCATTATATCTATATTTTCTCCGTGCACAGTTTCTTTATGTGGCTAGTATACATGGACTAAATAGCTCACCTTTCACATCAATGTCGCCATATTGTTGGGAGTTTCTCCACGGTTTGATGTCCATTTTTCAGTGTACATGTAGGTCTAGTGTAAATAGCACCTTTATCAAAAGCTGATACATTTACAGACATGTAATTAGGGTACTCTATAACTATTAGATGAATACACAAATTAACATTCATGCAAGAAGAATGTTGTTTGGGCGAGTATGGTTTTACGCCGCTTTTAGCACTATTCCAGCAATATCTAGACTCCTAATGCATGCCACTGCCGCGACGTCACAGGCAGGCACGTTTAGATTGGCCTGAAGATCACGTCAATTGGACAGGTAAGGACTGAACTCCCGTATTTTTCACAGATGAAGCGAGATACTGTCTGGGCTTCGCGGACTGTTGTGCGCGAGTGTGGCGTAGACAAGAAGAAAGAATTCACGATTCCAACGCAGCAGAACATGACTGCAATAGTGGGGGCTAAATCATGATTTGGGCTGGGATCAGTACAGCTGGAGAACCGATGTCCATGTCCTACAGCGGGGCACGATGACAGGTGTGCGCTACAGGGACGACAGTCTGGATGTGTACGCGAGACCGTATGCTGGAGCAATCAGGCCGGACTTCATCCTCATGGACAATAACGCATGACCTCATCGTGCCAGGATCGTTGATGTCTACTTGGAGCGGAAGACCATTGCATTGAGTGGCCAGTCCGATCACCAATCCTCAACCCTATAAAACACTTGTGTAAACGAGCTGAAGCTCGCCCTCTCACGACGTCCTGTCCTTCCAGCAACTCAACAGGAACTCGGCAATGTTATTACTGAAGAGTGGGACATTTTCCCAGAAACGAATGTAGTTGTGTTGCAAGAACATACAGAAACATGTCTTGTCCCAGAGTGAGTGAGTGAGTGAGTGAGTGAGTGAGCGAGCGAGTTCGGTTTAACGCCGCTTTTACAGTTATATCGCGGCGTGTCAGCTTAATGTGGGAGGAAAGCCTGAAGTGATGCAGGTCTCAGACGTTTACTACTTCGGTGAAACCCACGAGCACGGATGTGGAGCTGACAAACCTAGAAACATAATCAGGGCGAACCAGGATTCGAACCCACAATGATAGGTTTCTGGCGTGCCCAAGGGACGCAACTCTGCACAGCGAATCGCGGCGCCTTAGACGACTGGGCCACCCCTGCCCCACTTGTCCCGGAAACAAATGTAGATGTGTTGCAAGAACATACAGAAACATATGACAGTGAAATATACTTCCATGATGCATTGAACAAAATTGTGGAGAACAGGGCATTAAATGAGAGCTGTGGAAGAAACAAATAACAGAAGTCAACCTGTTAGGATATATTTTATTTCATTCTGTGAAGAACTCTACCACAGATTTCCTGTTGCTATTAACATAATTTACAATTGTATGGAACCTAATGAGGCAATACTGTATACAGCAGTAGCCATGATCATGAGTTAAGTGATGAATGATCCAACATGAATGTAAGTCGACACATCTTCATAACCCATAACTCAAAAGAAAATTTACTTGCCATTGATCGTCTGTAGAAACATTAAAGTTTGAAAAATAACAATTTTGAACCTTTTATTTATTTAAAAAGACCCAGTTACAATAAAAGAATAGTTTATAAGGAGGGATACTATGGTGATAAATCATCATGTTATCAACTATTTTTGGTAAGTTATCAATGTCTTAGTACCAATATCGAACCAATAATTTTCAACCTGCAACTTATGGCCAAATAGGACACACTTTTGATCAATTCCTTTCAAAAGACGAAGCTACCATTCAATGCAGTTTGCTCAAGTCAGATGTCGAGGACAACACCACATAAATTAGTTTTTTTTATCTGTATCACCTTTTGAGGACAAATCTTACAAAACAGAAAAGAACAAGATTTTTGCAATGAACCTTGTCAGATATGATATATGCATGATGAACTTAACACATCAGATTGCCATAGAATTAAACATTTGTATGAAGTAGACAAGTTAAATGTGAAGATCAGAGTGAGTGAGTGAGTGAGTATGGTCTTACGCTGCTTTTAGCAATATTCCAGCAATATCAAGGCGGGGGGGGGGACACCAGAAATGGGCTTCACAAATTGTACCCATGTCAGGAATCGAACCCGGGTCTTCAGCGTGTCGAGAGAACGCTTTAACCACTAGGCTACCCGACCGCCCCGTGAAGATCAGAGAACCCTGGACCAGTTTCCTCATTAGAAAAGGAATCTGCTTGCTGAAGGTTTGAATTGATATTTAAAAATAATAAAAAAATAGTTTTGAACAAATACCATCAAGACATGACCTACTTGATGCAGGAACAAATTTGATTAACTGACACTTTAAGAAAGGTTTAACAAAATGTCTTCAGTCCACAAAGACACTCTGCTATTCACATTTTAAACTTGTCAATGATCACTGACTGACCGAGCACCAGAATTTGTCAATGAGTTTAGGAAACAAACAGTTACCACAAACTATGGAAATCAAATTTGAGTGCTCTCAACAATCCAAATAATCATATTGAACAAGAAAAAGATCCTTCATGACAAGTAAGGCCTTAGATATTGACAATTGTGAGCAAGTAATGTTTCAAGGTAATGCTGTAGAGAAGAAGCCTTCACATGTCAGAAATAATCGGTATTGGACCACTCAAACAGTGCTTGGTCACAGTGTTAAACATTCAATAAATAAGTCTTTTCAAGTTCAGCTCCATTCTAAGTCCATTTGCTCACAGATGATTATTTTATATGTTAAATAATTCTTATTACTGAAAAAAAACTTGCATATCTACGCAAATTGGTGTCAATATAAATATTTCTGTACACATATGTATAGAATCACAACAGGAAGTAAACTCTACAGATTCATATCTTCATGAGACACAAATACACAGGGCAGTACGTTCACTCAACTCATCCACTGTCACTGTTCTAGTGTAGGGAGTCTTACTGTTTATACAATCCCTGGATGGCATGAAAGGGCCATCCCAGAGCACATATTTACAAAACAACTTGATATGTCCTGCCCCAAGTTAACAAGTATGAAAGACCTTCCGATGAAGGGCAGCAAATATTATCACTGAAAGCCCTGAAGACCTCTGTACAGAACAAATTGTTCAGGACTCGGTAGAACTGCATTCAGAGAGAGGATGACCGATGATGATGAATGAGTCGAGTGAAAATACATTTTTCATAACCATACCATGCACACCTGTTATGCAGTTTCTGCTGTCTATGTACAAAACCAATAAAACTACAAAGCGAAATCGCCTCCAGTTCTTTGAGCATTACATAGGAATGGAAAAATTATGGGAAACAGTCTATGTTTTAATTGAAAAAGGCCGTCTGCATTCACTTGAGTCATGGGTCTACTTTAGTGACAGTCTCTATGCAATATTTTGACATTTCTTCAAATTTAAGAATTTATCCCGGGATATTAGACATGTAAAGATTATCAGATAAGATTTTCAAAAAGTCGTAAATATACATCGAAGTCGTGAGGAAGTTTCACAAACAGGTCTTACATACGTATTCCCAAATTATGCAATTTGATCACTGTGAGATGGCACAATCCATACAAAGACTGCTTCTATAGCATGTCACCTCCATCAGTGTCACATCCAGTTCAGAAACCACTTTAATAACCTTTTCAGTCGACATACATACACCATCATTGTACTGGCTAGTTTCTCCCATCCTTGCCACAAGCAATATCAAGAACACCAAATATTTAGCTGGAACCATGTGTCATCACGTTTTACAATTGACATACCAAATTTTGGTTACAACTCCGATCAAGTGCACACTAAGTCAAAACTTCACCAATGTGGATGGTTACAACAACTGAGAAATACATACTAGATCGCAAAATTCGGGATGGAAATTGGAATTGGTATCAAGTGCTCCATGATATCAAACTTACAAATGTCTAAAATGGACAATACACATCTGAAACATCTTGTCATCTCAAAAATAGCATACCTCTGCCTCAGAGGTGTTTTTCAAATAGTATGAAAACAGAGTGCACACTGCAGTGTGTTAAGAATATTTCCTGTTTGTAGTAATCAACAAAAAATTGGAAGCTTACTGAAAGTGTATGCATCGACAAAAATAATGTGAAGCAGGGTATTCGCCAACAGTCGAAAAACCTTGCAGAATATACAATCTTTTCATAATCAAAATTGAAAATTCAACATTTTCAGCAGTATGTTATTTCTAAGAATATGATTTTATGTAGAAAAGCCTACATCTGTCAAATATAAATGCTATTCATGATGCGAAACACAATATTCCTCGGATTTTGTTGAGCATTTCATACACTGCAAAATGGGAAAGGAGTTGTCTTGCAACCTCCCTGTTGCTTCAAAGCCAGCATAAAAGGTTGTCCAAGACAAGAATTTCTCAAAGCAATATGATACACTCGAACCAGGGCCCAACTGGGCCTCAACGACCAAACAGTACGATCATGACCCTCTACGGGTGGGAGTCTACTGCTGGTGGTGGAAAGCCAGGATGCAGAACCTACACAAATCCAAAACCAATAGGCTCCGACCAAATCAGTAACATCATCAATAATAATGATAATGCTCAAGCTCATGCCTTAGACCTGGTGATCTGATCATGATAAAAAAAACCAGTCACTTTCCACAAAATGTTCTTACCATAAACCTAGGAAAACAAAATGAACGATATGGGCTCTTTTTTCAAAAACAAGAAACTGTTTCTTCAACCTAGAGTAGGTACATAGTTTGTAAGTCTGGGCCATTTGTATGTAGGACATATGGTTGTTGAGACAACATAAATCCAGCACAATGCCGACACGACTACATTGACTCAACCATCTACACAAGAATCCACCACTTAAATTGAACATGATCTACGGAATTTCCTGTTCTGTGTTGAAACAAGGAAATATGGCAAAAATGTACAACTGCACCAATATACAGAAGATATCACAAGACCTATTACTCTATACATACAAAACACACAGCTCATATGGTTCATCCTTTATACAAGGACATGTTATCAAATTATCAAAAGTATTTCAGAGAAAAGCAATATCTTACAATGAAGGCAGACACCCTAACACCTGTCATTTAACCAAAATTACTGATCTAAACACTTGGCATGCTACTATTTACTGTAAGCTTTAAGCCAAAAATCTCTGGAGTTGTATGCAAGAACCTGAATGAAGAAAACACCAAAAGAATTAGAAATAAAAATCCTTAGAAAGTTTGGATGGATTTGAAGCTATTAATGAAACTGTCAGGAAACTGCATACACATTGATGCATGTGGATTGGAGTTCTCACAGAATCACTATTGTCCAATGTTTTGGCATAATCCTCTATGATGAGCGCAGGCCACTTCTAAGCAACATTGCTAATCAGCTTGGATTGCCTTGGAAAATCTGCATCATCAGCTTAAGCAAACAGTGACCATTGGTAATTGGGGAAAAGAAGCATATTCTGTCATGAAAATACCTTCTTTGGAAGCTTCTATCGTACAAAGAACCCTCAATTGAACAAGTTATCTTTGACATTAAGCAGAAGCAGGCTAAAATTATGTCCAGTTGGCATACAAAGAGCGGACAACTTTCAAAATTGGAAGTTATTTTCATGAAGAAGATTGCTCGAGCTCCTACCCTGTAGCTCTCCTGAGAGGATAATGATAAAGATTTGACACTTGGTCACATTTCAAAACACAATCTCTGTAGAAACTATCCTGAATCTCAATGTTCTGTCAATATCTGAGAACGATAACATGCTGATATTGATAGTATGTTGTTCGATGTTGATGAATAATATTCAATTATGCAAATGATTATTAATGAGATCTATAACTATTGAATAATACAGTTATCTCCCTAGCTATATTTCATTGCTTATCTAGGAACACAAATGGTTCAAATAGTCTGTTTCTGAAAAGGAAAAATAAATGAACTGAACACCATGTTCAAATAAAAAAATAACAAGTCAAATCAAAGTCCAAAATCAAAGTGTCTTAACAGAAAGTACTTGTAACTTTTGATGTTTTAAGTTTAAGATTCTTGAGATTTTTGCGTGTCTTGAGCACTAGAGTATATTGAAAACACCTGAAATAAATAACTGCCACTCCTTGGTGTCTTGTCTTGGCAGCACAATTAACATGGAAGCCTTCATGTTGCCAGCTGGCTCCATATCACAATACATACGTACACATTATCACAATACACAAGAGGGTAGGCAAGATCATCCAGTTATCTGCAATGTAGAAATCCAGGTAGTCACTGCTATGCACACTGGACATGTCAAATCACCCCTGAAGCAGTGTAATTAAATAATCAGGCCAAAAAACGAATAAATTTTTAAATGAATTATTCAACAGATGAAAAGAGAAAATACCTCATTGCAAACTTCAAGGACAATAGTGGGCTTTTTAGGGGGATCTGCATACCAGAAATCTAGATCATTGACATCAAAATCCACATTTATGGTCCAATGTATTGACTGTAAGCTAGACTGAAGCTCCTTGCATCCACCTGTCAGAGCCAGATTTCTCTGCACTCGTCAACAATGAAGTGCTGCCCACAACACCTGGACTTCGCGGCACCGTCTTCCTTCCAGAGTCCAAGCCACCCGTGTCCTCCAACAGGGCAATGCCTCCCACAGTAAGATCTTTATTTGAGCATTACTTGGATGACAGGCTGGGAAACCATGGACACCAATCCGACTCGTGGACAGCTTGTCGCATCAACTTTTCCAACTATTTATTGAAGTATTTCACTGCTAAGTTTACAGTTCAGTCAACGTTCAGAAATAGTTCTCGAATGAAACTAAAGACCTATCCTCCTGTCAAAATAATGAAGAATGAAAACTTCATATATTTCGGAATATTGTTTGCACAGTGCTTCTTCTCAGGTTAATGATTCAAGCTGACATCAGGTTTTGGAACCATAAGGACAATTATAGTGACCACTGGATTTGCACAAGACACAGGTGGCTAGATAGGGATTGTCAGGTTGGCATTTCACTGAGTGCACTATACATATTTGGTATACTTGAGGGAAAGACTGATACCTAAGTGTGTAAATGGTCTACACTGTGCCATTGTTACAGTAATCACCTCTATGTATGTACAGTGTTTGCTCTAGCTAAGGAACAATCTCTCAAGTATAGGCCCTGGACTTTAAAGAACAATGGATCAAATGTTACACGTTGCAATGGCAATATTTCAACCAATCAACATGGGGTGTAACAAATGACTTTTATTCAGCGGCTACAGTGAACTGGTAAATAAACTAGTGGTTGTGAGTGAGTGAGTGAGTTAGTTGGGTTTAACGCCGCTTTTAACAGTATTCCAGTTATATCACGGCGTGTCAGCTTAATGTGGGAGGAAAGCCCGAAGTGATGCAGGTCTCAGACGTTTACCACTTCAGTGAAAACCACGAGCACGGGTATGGTGCTAACAAACCTAGAAACATAATCGGGGAGAACCGGGATTGGAACCTACAATCATAGGTTTCTGGCATGCCCAAGGGACGCAACTATGCACAGAGAATCGCGGCATCTTAGACGACTGGGCCACTCATGCTCCCACACTAGTGGTTGTGTTCTAACTGGTGCAGCAATCCTGTGTGCAGAGAACATGGGTCGGTCACAGTAATGGCCAACACGAGACTTACAAAGGCATTGCAAGGACATGCTATGTAACAAGAACTGAAACGATTGTGACTCCCTTCTACTACTGAAAATCCTGCATTCGTTTCAGTGGTAAAATCATTTTTACTGTTTAGGAAACACTGACAAGGGCCTATACCTGTGAGAATATCACAAATGATCATAAGGAGAGAAATATTAACAAAAAAATATTACTTACTTTTTATTGAGGGAGCAATATTCTAAGACTTGAGGTCACTTTTTCAAATATCAAAAAATTTGTAACATCAGTTTTTCAAAAGAGAATCACAATAACAGCTAGGTGTTACATTTTATTTTGTTTTGTTTTTCACAAATATTGAATTGAATGTCTACACTTATCTTAAAAACATGTAGCCTAAGGTAAATTGTTATAAACATGTCTTCATAAAGTAATAAATTAGCAAACAGTTTGTTTTACAAAAGTCCTGCAAAATATTTCTAACTTGTGTTCCGAGAAAGCATACGTCTCTCTCACTTCACCACTGAAGTTGTCTGACACGATCCACAATGTATTCTGGCAGCATGAAAAAGACCACTTCAAAGTGTGACCAAGGTTAGTGTTGTCACAGCCAAGCTGGAAATGGATACATATCCAGATGTAGGGCCAGCACATATAACACTTGGCCCTAGGTGAGGCTATGTACCCATTTCCCATGTGGCCATGCTTGTCACAGTTCTGAGAGGATGGAATGGTGCATTGATATGAGTGGATCAGGTAAAATAGTCCGTCAATTTTCCTTGATATTTTATCATAGATACCAAGAAAAAAACATCTTTCAAGCATTGTACAAAGCAATCTGAAGCATCAGCCCTTCTCTCATCTCATGTGTGATGCAGTATTTGATACAGAGTGACATTTTTCCCATGGTAGAACATCCTGGTGCTACCACAACGATTACAATGAAATTATACAAAAGACTTCAAAAACAAGTCCCTACGATCTTCCCCTACATCTATGATCATACTAAATAAGTAATTTACAATAAAATGTATACACGGTAGGGGCGAGGGAAGTGCAGTATATGATTCTCTGTACATTTTGTACACATTATACAAAATAAAAACAATAGTCTCTCATTCAGCTTCTTACCACAAAGCTTAGTGTCCAGTATTAAACATGGTAGTTACCTATGAAGTGATCACCTTTGTGTCTGGTGTAGCAAAATACGTGTATTTCAATCACCATGTAGTCCATGCACCGAGACACTGACTCGGCACGTTCATACAACATTAAAGTTTCAGTTCATTGGCAATTTTGGATGCAATGTTCTTAAAGCCTATTGAGGTGCCCGAGATCCGTTTGAAGCGCACTCCGTTGAGGGAGAGACGTGGGAGTTTACAAACTTCCATCTCCCATTGCACCAGACTGTCCGTGTTTGGGTCCCCATGAACACAAAGTAACAGAAACTTTTCCCTTTGTTCGTAGTCGCAATTGTTTGCGTCTAGTACCTTCCTAATTTCCTTCATCATATCATTGGGGTCCATGGAGCTTGTCGTTTTCATACTCCACGTAAATCGCAACGACCTTGGCTTCACTGGCTCACCCTCCCTAGTCTCATTCACCGACCTGCGGAACAATTTGCTGAAAATTAGAAAAACAACCAAAAACACAATTAATGGCCAACCCTCTGTCACAGAGTCTGAGCTGAAGATTTTCATCCAGTAGGAATGTTTGTAAGACTAGTAGTTGCATATCCCAGCAGCTGCACCAACCAATCAAGACAAAGGAGACACGATAGATATGGGGGTTATCTAGTGTTGGGCAAACAGGCAGGTAGGTAGATGATCTACTGGGGGCACAACATGCAACAGACAACATGCTTGCGGAGACATAGGTGCATGCAATTGCAGTCTAGTAGGAAATGATGCTTACACATAGGTTTAATAATAAATTAAGCTTCAAATAGTTATAAATAATAACACTAAATTAAAATTTATAAACCGAAAAAAGTCTTTGGAATTTAAAAATAAACAAAATTCAAATCGATTCTTTGCCTGTTTTGTAAGTATCTGCCAGGTAACAGCATATGTATTATTCTAAAATAAAAGCCTTTTTTCTAATGACCATATCTAGCTATCAATTACCTTCACTATGCGAAAAACATCTACATTCTAAGTTCTAAGAAAAGGCGACCCTATGGAGCCTTATGTCTTTTCATGGGAAATGTATTATTGGACTGGGACAGTAGGTTTAAGAACATCAACCAAGAGTTACTCATTTCATGAGAATCCTTTTCAATTAGAAAGATATTTTGTCCATCAAGTTTTGTTAAAACAAATATGCACATTACTGTGACCTTCCAATCAAAGAATTTAGTGAAATCTTGTGTATTTAGTTCTAGCATAACCCATTGGAGCTACAAAAAAAACAACTGTTTGTTTTTTCAGCTTTCTATTAAGCAGTGACTGCTAACACTGTTCCACTGAACTCAAATAAATATGGGTTTATCTTCAAATAATTCATACATAATAAAAAACTTTCCAATATTTTAGGAATAGATTTCAATATAGAAGCTTCCTAAGAAATGCATTTAAAAAATGACAAATCAAGAAAAGAAAACAAGAAAGAGTTGATTTAAAAGGAAAAAGGTGATCTGAGTGATACATGCTAGAGGCCCATGCAATTAAATCCTATGTTGACTAGAAAGGCCTCAAGATTCCTGCAGTAATGGTTGAAGAGAGCAAGAGCAAGAGATGAGGATGAAGATATAGACTTCTTGCAAGTAAGATGATGAAACTGATCAAATGTCTCTGCATGAGAATGGAGTGGCAAAAATAAAGTTCAATTTGGAAGCCTGGATCAAAATGCTATGTCCATGCACAGCCGGAGAGCTCCTTAAGAGTTTCCAGTAGACTGATGATGCAGGAGTATCGGGATCTGCACATTCAAACAGTCACAAGCAGCCAAATAACGGAATAGAAATACAGGAACTGCTGAGATACAACTGTTTCAAGAAATTTGAAATTCCCCTTGAAAACTTCACATATTCATAATTCTCCCTTAATAACTCGGTGAATGGAGGGTTGACGTCAAAGAAGTTATTAATAGAGAGGAAATGGAGAGCATAATATGGAAGAAGCAGCGTCATGCATATGCCTTACCTCTTCACATTATCTAGGTATAGGGCTGCCTTACACACAGGCATTGGTAGAAGCTATACTCCTCCCTTCATGGCTTTAGCTCGGGAACAACTGACTTGAGTGTGGAAAAATGACCTTCACATCAAACCATGCTTCAGTTAGAGTTCATTCTACCATAAATAAACCATGCAGTTTGAAAATAACCATTGCCTTGGATCCAAACTGAAAATAGTCTTTTCATAAACACAGCCAAGAAGGGAGAAATATAGACACTACTCAAGCCGTGGTAGGAGATCTGGACAACACTCTAGTGGACACGAATCATGAACACAGAGAGGTCGATTCAACTGAAATGATGTAATGCTGAACATTCTAGTTTGGGTTTTATTGCACTGGCCCGTACCAACTGCACAAAGTTAGTGCTTAAACCTGAAAGAAAATATATTATTAAATTCAGTGTCCTCTCAAATCTGTCTCATATTTTGATCTTTACCGAAAATGTCTTCCAAAAATGAAATAATTTTCATTTTGGCAAACTAATAGGTAACATTTGAAATTGAAACTTTTGAGAGCTCCTGAAGAACATCTTGTATGATAATATGCAAAACATTGAATGCGTACATATTTCTTCATGAGGGACGCCAGAGCGGGAAAATGTTGCTCTTGGTGAATTGAACCAACAAAACCCAAACCAGAGCTACCGATGTGGAACATGACAAACATATTGGGAAACATCTGTGACAGAAATATCAAGTCTTGACTTTATTTAAACAGATCAACAACCAAACGATTTCAAAGTCAACCAGTCTTCACTGATGCTTCCCCAATTGTCACTGATGAATGAGCAATGATTTTATGTATGCTTCTTCTACTTGTCAGCTGTAGTCTATGGTGAACGTGGTGATCTACAGAAGCCTGTTTCTACAGGACACCATGCATGTGTTAGAAACAAACACAAAGTGAGTGAGATGTCAAGAAATGTTAGCAATACATGGTCATGGTTACAGTCAGTACATACATTCATCAATAATGCAGGATCTGAATCACGTACTCAAATTTTAAAATTAGCCTTAATGATGCTACTGGTTACATGAAAATGTTTTAAAAAAGAGTTAAATTTAAAAAAAATCATTTTTTCCTCTCAAAATGAGAAGACTAAGTTTCCAATCTTTTAATATTTTACAAACATTTGAGAATAGCTTACCAAATATTTTCTCAAGCCAATATCAATTTAAATCATTGTTCAGATGTATGAATCAATATTGACAGTAGGCACTGCCAACAATGCAAGGAATATTGATAAAACAATTCCACTAAATGATACGGAGGAGAATGTGAGCGAGACATGAAAAGGGATCAGCACGAGGATAGTTATTAACATGAAAAGTTGGTATGAAATTGACAACACAATCATGGAAATCATATACCATGAGAAAAATCGTGCAAAGTAAAAGAGATTCAAAAAGTGAAATACCAAAGAGAATGAATGTGAGGTAGATGAGAGAATGCTGTAGGATGGTGAAGAGACTGACTTGCGATGCAGCCCAGTATGTTAGCTGGAGCAGTAAGGGAAAGAAATAGCACTGAAATGTGGGAGTTCCTCCCAGAGAGAAGAGACAACAGCAGCACACTAATACATCAAGTCTTGCTTCAGACATAAGCAGTGTTAACAATCCAAGCATTTCCACCTTGTCCTAGTGTTTTAATCCATACTATTAGTCACATATGTTACAAGTCTCATCAGCTAGTATAATGATAGTCAATGGGTTTAACACTTTTATATATTGGGTTAGTCATGTGTTGAGGCATCTAATTTGGCTACTACTTAGCCTGTTAAGATTTCATGAAAATGATATTAAATTTCAACATGAAAATGTATCCGGATACACCTAATTGTTAAGTTGCCACTATCATATTCCCTTAATGCTAATACGCGATGATTCTTTTAAAATGAGAACCCCAGTTACCATGGTTACAGTAATTGAGAATTTTGATTATCGTCAAATTACCAAAATAGGCCCAATTCATTGCAGATTGTCCTCTCTTAATTCAACAGGACCACAACAATGCACTAAGATCCTGTTCAAGGTCACCACTCCACAAAGCACTTAGCGCAAACACGATCGAAAGATTCACAACAAAACATAGACTTACGATGCACTTTGCGGAGTGGTGACCAGGGGCCAATTTCACAAAGCAATCGTAGCTCTATGATTGTCGTAAATCTATGTTAAAGTATGGAAGTTAACGATCATCTACACACTAAAAGTTGCTTTGTGCATCTGGTCCATACCATAAACTTTCACTGAGGTTTTCTTCAGAATCAATCGCCAGATCGATGCTTATGAACAAACATCAGTAAACAAAGTAATTATCTATCGGAATGGTGACAGAAGATTGGATGGAATAAAACATTTCAAGAGGAACACTGGTGTAGAAACTGTCCAGTCATAAACCCTCAAGCCTTGGTGCATCATTGTGATCAGAGCATGTTTGTTCAATCATTTTATCTCCCACTTTCCACTCAAAACTAACCATACCGTACATTCCCCAATAAGATGATTCAAATCCCATTTATTTGGATGGTTGGTGAATGGACTCAAGGATTAACATGTGCAGATGGCAAAAAAGCAATATGAAATAAATGGAAGATGTGACACACGGGCCATGAATCTCACCACGTGGATATCTGTTCTATCTGCTTGTAAACCGACCAATCAACACGTACAACTGATGGCGGGTTGGCATTCACTTACATGTACTTTGTAGCAGGGTTCCGTTTCTGACGAACGCTAGTGGGTTCCAGCTCTGGTTGCCCGTCAGCTCTGAATTGTGATCAAATCATGCAACACATATTACTTGACTGCCAACAGAGCCCCCGCTACCTTAAACTCCAAACTCATCCCTCACGAAATATAGACATTCAGACACAGGCAGGGCCCAATAACAGTTCCATTTTTCAAGCTTCCTCAACAGAAATATCTAGTATTTGAAATTAAAACATGTCACTCCTGATTGATTCTTGATTCTGACAGACTACTTAGGCCATCAACTGAACGGTTTAATGACTTCCTCATAAAGTCTTCACATACAAACAAGTCTTATTCCCTGTGCCTAATACCACAACATGGTGAAAGGTTTAGAAGAGTTTTGTGCAGGGTGGTTTAGTTCACAAAGATGTCACTTGTCAGGCAGGAAGAGGTTCACAAGGGTCGGTCAGGGTCCCGGTTGCCAGTTATCTAAAACCAGCCTCTCAAAATTCCATAAATGCTTACAGCCATTTAATATTCATGCTGTGGCAAATATATTACTTAACAGAATGCTGTTAATTATTAATAAAAATACACATATCCCTTAAAATGCATGATAAAATAAGTGAAGGTATACTGTCCATAATTTCACTATGTAAAATTGCCCAAATATGAATACTCCCAGACTAAATTCCTAAGTAATGCAGAGGGATACTTATTTGTCACAAGGAACCGGACAAGTAACCCTGAATGTCTTGCCTGTGAGGAGTTATATGCATGGCAGTGGACAGTGAGGGTGAACTTGGTCATGTGTGTGTCTTTTCCTTAAGACTGCTGGATAACAAGATCAGTGTTGCTACTCATCAATAAATGGGCCAGGGAGTTCCCGACTTCACCTATTCAAAGGTTTTGTTTCTGGAGCAAAAGTCTGAATGGTGCTTAAAACCCTTTGCTAATATAACCATGATTACAGTTACATTGTGAAATCAAGCCCAATACTGTCATATCCTCACTTGTGGATCATGAAAGAATAGCTAATTTTATTGGACGTCTATTATAGGTGTATTTGTTTGGGCTTTGAACAAAGGCATGGTGGCGATTGGGTCTAAGGTATTTATCCTAATATAACAGAGACATGAGATTCTGGATACTTGAGGAAGGGAAACATCAGAACCAGAAGTTATACCAAATTTGTTCTTAACATGACATTACGGCTGATATCTGCCCTTGCCATGCTGGCAAAATTATTTCTCAAATGTCATGTGAACAGTTACAATTTGCATCCTCCTCAGCTAATTGTTTATCCAGCATTCTTACAGCATCAGAAACTCCCAGCAAATCATGCACCCGAGTCAGGTTACCTCCTCCAACAACAGTGCACTTGTATTGGTGGACAGGTTAGTGATTCACAAGCAACTGGCCAAACTTCCATGCAACATAGTAACAAGATGGAACGACTAACTAACTTGAAAGCCTTAACGCCCAGAACACAGTCACACCCATTCTAGCTGCATGTCTTGTCGGACTGGACACAGGCCAACATTTCATTGTTCCTACTGGCAGTACTATGCCAAAAGTCACATACAGTGGGATCCCATTGTTAAGAAGGGAAACCTGCAAAAGGTTGTGTAAATGGTTAAACGGGGATTTCAAAGAAGCCGTTACGAAACAGACAGGAGATTGAGCAGGATCCATGCCCTTGAAGAAGGTCTTCCACCACGGGGGGGGGGCCTACCTTCTACTGAACTGTGACTTTATCCGGTTGAAGAAAGATCCTCTGGCACTCGAAGGACCCATCGCCGACGTATCCTGCGAGTGGGTCGGCATTGCTCCGGGGCCGTTGTATGGGTTCACATATTGCCGCCTATCTTTTCCATGGAATGTGTTACGAGCGTTCGTGCCTCGTTGCAAATTGGGCTTGTTCCCTCCTGACATAGCTAACGACTTTCCCGGTGCCGTCCTGTCAAAAGGAAAACCCCTGTAAACCAAAGGAATGTGAGGACAGTTACAACACGCAGTGCAAACATGCAGACAAGACAAGGCAGACATAGGAAGATGTTACTACAGCTAATACAGGCTACGGCTCATACTACATACAGTTGTCGAAAAACATTGGCACTAATAACACCGTGGTCTAAAATCTAAGTGCTACTGCTCTACAATGTGTGTCTAAAAACACTGGCACTACTAATACATGTGTATACACCACTAGCATCATTACTATGTCAAATCTAAGTGCTACTGCCACTACTGTGTCCGAAAACAAATGATTAGGTGACATAAGAGCAATTGCTACCACACATATTACATGACTGATCGATGTGAGGAGTGAATGGAAGCACAGCTGATAGATAATCAATATTCAGCCATGACTATGACAGGGCTGAACAGTTCATTACGATAAGTCACTAAACATGACGACAAACAGTGATAACATAGACTAATTAACAACAACAATTGTACATCGGCTTATTGAAGTATATTTTGTTGACAATTCTGTTGAAGAATCTCCTTCATATAATACAGCATTGATATTTACAAGGTGTTACCATGACAACCCTTATGCAAGTGTAGTCTCGACAGCCTGGCTGATTATACATTTATTTACGTAAAATGTGATGACAAGATATCAGGTCTCAAGTCATCCCCATCTTCATCAATAAACAATTGTTTGGGTGGGTGTTTTCCCAGCTCAAAATTTAACAACTAAATCTGTTTTTCACTAGCCTTTCTGGACCAGTTAAAAATATAAAAATGGTGAAAATTACTGTCACATGCTTTTGTTTGGATGGCCAGTGTGCTATGCCCTGAATATGACCCTATTCTTTGGGCATTGCTTATTAATACATGAAAACTATCTCACTGACTTGCTCCGAAGTCTGTCTACATCGACTACTAAAGAAGGACTAGTTGACTGTCTAACTATGCTGTTAGTGGGTTGAACCTAGATGTGTAACAATATAATGGGAGGACACAAGAACACAGGTTTACACCGGGGAAAGAGTGAACAACTTGGCTGCAGTCAGCACAAGACAGCGGTATGCAGCTCCCAATACCCAACAGGCCAGTGGTTGATGGCAGGAGAACCGATTCAAACCACCAGAGTATGATGGCACAATATCACACATAACCACCTATTCTCCATCATCTCTATTGTTAGTGGGGCCTATTCAGATTTGTACCTAGCAAAACACACGGGTAGATTTACATCACGTTAATCAACTAAAACACATTATGAAAACCTAACATTCACGCATGAAGTGCATCATAGTTTGGTTTCCCATTCCATTGTACACCATCACAATCACTGATCGTGAGGTTTCTTGTATACATAAGTATCCTGCCACCAACACAGGGAGCATGCAAGACAGACGGAACAGGGTCTTACGTGGGCCGTAATGGATCATTATCACCGAGGGGAGGCAGGTCAGTAACCCGAGATGACTGAGAAATGCTGGCAGATTTCACATGACCCTTTGGCCGAGCAGAGGGAGCCTCAGATGCCGCAGACGTGGAGTTTGGAAGATGGCTGCAAAACAGAGGGTTAATCTTTCAGTTGCGGTCAGTTAGAGGGGTACGTGACATCACGTCACTGCAAGGTAGGGAGTTTGTGTTCAGCAGATCATACATCTGCAGAGTGTTTCTCTACTGAAATTTGAAAATCATTATCAAAGCTGAGCCGTGATAAATGAACACATTTTCAAAAAGAGCAAATCAATTTTTTGTGGCTGTGAAATTTGAAGATCAGGAGAGCATCATCCTCAAAGATTCTTTGGTATGTATACGCTATGCCTCCATCACCCTGAATACCATTGGCCACTTGTGGTGAAGCCACTATTATAAGCCAACTAATCAAGCGAAAGCCTGGTTCCGCCACATATGGGCCTCGTGTATTCATGGCAGATGGACGAACATATGTAACTTATACACACACCTCAAAGTCTTGATGATGGGTGAGCAGATCCACAGATTTTCAAAAACAGCAAGACAATTTGTCATATCCCAGCAAAGACCAGATCAGTTTCTGCAGATGATGCTATTGCCCCAACAACATACTGTGTGTACCTTCAGTCTTCACACCGAACATGGTCACGGACACATCACAGGGGAGTGTACAAGGGGAGGTGGTTAGGGGTTGGAGGAAAGGGTGAAAATAAACCAAACACTAAATAAGGAGTGTCCTAACCCTTAATAGAGAAAAGTAGCAAGGGTTAGTGCAGTAGGACCATGCGTGGCGGTGAATAGACATTTTACCTTGATGTGGACTCAGCATCATTAGGCCTCTTCCTCCTTTGACTGGAAAAGTCAAAAAGATATGTCGGAACCATGCATGCGTTCTACATAGATCTTCAGGTATCAGTCTACGCATGCCGAGAGTTCATTCAAAAGCCCAAACAAACTGGAAATCATTAAGTTCTGTCTATTTAGTCACACTTTCCTGAGAATGTTGAATCGTTTGATCAGCATTATTTGAATTCTGAACACTACATCATGCTGCATAGCAAAGCAGAAACCTACGTAGCTTAGTCACTAGTCCGCGTCATGTGGACAGGTTAACCTTCCATTTCTACGAGTTCTATGGCATGCTTATTATCCAGTGTATTTTATTTCTATTCCATTACGATAAATACCCAGGACCAATTCACCACCAAAGCTTGGTTTTGGAAGTGACGTCACCTTTGCCTTTTCTCTGATCACTAACTTAACACTGAATATCTATAGCTCGCTTGATATTAATGACCAATCAAAATGCAACTTCTGAATGAGAATTTGACATAGGCCTACATCAAATTTGCAGCCTCAACATATTTAAACAAATCGAATTAGCTGAAAAACATGTTTTCCTGAGGAGCCAGAATTGGGAAGGGAAGTTCATATGGCATTTGGCATTCCAAGTCGTATTTGAGATAGTAAGCAATAAGGCGAATCGATCACACGTAATATCACTGCGTGCTTCAATCGTGAGAGAACAGCATGATTTGATTGGATGGCTATCTTTATTCTTGTGCTGTGTCAAACCGGAACCAAAACAAAGCCATGGTGGTGAGTGGTTCCAGGGTATTTGTTGTTAAAGAAAGGAGATATAATTCCCTGGATTATTGAGGATAGTCCAATGTACACCATTACAATTACTGTATTTGACGTAATAAGCGCCCAGGGCGCTCTCAAAATTAGAAATAGTGGCTCTTATTAGAATATTATTTCGGTGAAGAAAACACAGTTAAAAGATACATTTTGTGGTTTATGCTGACAGCCTGAAATGTTTATATACGAGAGATACATCTTTCCAGAACTTAACTGCCCATAATTAAGGGTGCATATAACAGACCAGTGCGTATTATACGGGAATAAATAAGTCTAATTACCCTTTAATTGATGCTAATTCAGGGTTAGAATTTAATTTTTTTAGGCACAAGCAAATTTTTGCTTGTGGTTTTAAAAGTTACAAGCAAAATCAAAAATCAACAAGCAATTATTTTTTCTCAACTCAAAACTTCAAAATATATATCACAAGATTGCATGATCGTGATTTATGCTGCATATAAATAATGGCTGATTATGCATGTTATGACATTCAGATAACAAAGTAATTAAATTACACTCATAAAACATTTATCAAAGAAAATATCTGCATGTTTGTAAAACATCTTTGCTAGCACATATTATACACCATTTCAAGTTCCAATCCTGTTGTTTATAAAATATGTTATGTTTATCACATTATTTAGATAATGCATTTACAACTTAATTATGTTCGTTGTAAATAAAGAAAGAAAATGTAAGCTAACACATTCATAACGTCCAGATTAAGGACCAAGGAAGCGCAAAATTGACGATTTTCGCAAACAGAATCTATAAGATTTCATAAAAAACACAATTGGAAAAAAATATTTTAAAAAGAATTGTAAATAGATCTGGTATCTGCCATCACCCATTTCCCGATAACAGCGGCTGTTCGTTCAGTAACATGAAGAGATACCTCCGTTTTCATATAACACGGTCGTCGAAGACTGCCATCTGACACATCGCTAGAAAGCTTTGATAAAATTGGTTTCTAATGACTCTGTCTTTGCCAAAATCTGCTACAAGGTTCGTGACTGGTCAAATCTGAGCACGTGACCTAAGTCGGCCAATCAAATTACATCTATGATCTGATAAATTTCAGAATTTGACGAAAGACTTTTGTTAAATCGTGTTATTCTAAAAGTTTTAAGCAGGAAATTGCGATCTATATTAAAAATATGGAACTTCATAGATGTATCGTGCCAGGTTACGAGCTGTGACAAAGATTTTTCATGATTATATTTTTGCATTAAACATCGTCTCCGAACCGAGGAAATTGAGACGACGAAAGCCGAGATGTCATTTGACTTACATTACACGCGATCGCACGAAAAGATTGAAATAATAACTTAAATGTAAGTCTGACAACTTTAAGATATATTTTTAAAATTTTATCTATTACTTTGTATAATATATAGCTTGAAAAGTCTTTACATTGCTCTTTGACATGTTCGCTGTGGACCCGTTGTCGAAAAGTGTTTTCGAGATTTTATTTTCAATAACATTGCGGGAATAGTGAATAGTTTTTTAATTCATCGATAAGAAATGATAAATTGAAATGGAATACGTATTTCAGACATTGTGAAATGTGATAGATTAAATAAATGAATCATAGGACAGGTAGGTTAATAAAATTATATATACTATTTTGACGTGACTACGGCTTCGTCAGTCAACCGGCCTACGGGTGTCGTCTGGTATTCGAGGATGGCATGTCATCTTAAAATAAGAAACGACCTTGGGTCAATTGAATAAATTACCGATGACATAGTTTTTACGGCATTTGATTGGTCTCCCGAAAATAGACAAACATCATTTGCATAATATTAAGCTCCGTGCTATATGTTCATTGGTCAAAAAGAGCTCGGAATAGTCCGCGTTCACGAAAGTTGAAAAGAAGTAAAAGGTTTTCCCGGAAACGCGAATGGGGAGGTAACTCTAAATTGGAGGTAAACAAATCAAGGAAAATCTTCGCGAATTTAAATGTTATCACAGTGAATTTAGAAACTTAGGTATTTCTCAACCAATTGTTAAACGGGGAAAAAGCAAGACGCATAAAATATCGTCTTTATTTTGATTTATAGACGCAAAATCATAAATTAAGACGCATTTCCCCTCCCTTACTCATGTGATCCTCCCATCCCCTCCCTTACTCATGTGATCCTCCCTTACTCATGTGATCCTCCCATCTCCTCCCTTACTCATGTGATCCTCCCATCCCCTCCCTTACTCATGTGATCCTCCCATCCCCTCCCTTACTCATGTGATCCTCCCTTACTCATGTGATCCTCCCATCCCCTCCCTTACTCATGTGATCCTCCCATCCCCTCCCTTACTCATGTGATCCTCCCATCCCATCCCATCCCATCCCATACTCATGTGATCCTCCCATCCCCTCCCATACTCATGTGATCCTCCCATCCCATCCCATACTCATGTGATCCTCCCATCCCCTCCCTTACTCATGTGATCCTCCCATCCCATCCCATACTCATGTGATCCTCCCATCCCCTCCCTTACTCATGTGATCCTCCCATCCCCTCCCTTACTCATGTGATCCTCCCATCCCCTCCCTTACTCATGTGATCATCCCATCCCCTCCCTTAGTCATGTGATCCTCCCATCCCCTCCCATACTCATGTGATCCTCCCATCCCCTCCCTTACTCATGTGATCCTCCCATCCCCTCCCATACTCATGTGATCCTCCCATCCCCTCCCATACTCATGTGATCCTCCCATACTCATGTGATCCTCCCATCCCCTCCCATACTCATGTGATCCACCCATCCCCTCCCTTACTCATGTGATCCTCCCATCCCCTCCCTTACTCATGTGATCCTCCCATCCCCTCCCTTACTCATGTGATCATCCCATCCCCTCCCTTACTCATGTGATCATCCCATCCCCTCCCTTACTCATGTGATCACCCCATCCCATACTCATGTGATCATCCCATCCCATACTCATGTGATCATCCCAACCCAATGTGATCACCCCATCCCATACTCATGTGATCATCCCATCCCATACTCATGTAATCATCCCATCCCAATGTGATCACCCCATCCCATACTCATGTGATCTAGGGAAGGACGGGATCTATGAAGAACACAACAGGGGGTGGAGGCTCAAGTCAAGTAACTCGACGTGGAAAACAGTGCTTGCAAGAACATTGTAAGTTGTGTGCATAACATTGTTAGACTGACCAACTGTTAGTCTCGGGTAATGGATTCCAGCTGTGTCATATGTTCAGCATGCTGAACCCTGTCACTGCAGTGTTTCAGCAGACAAACACTGTCCACAGGACATAACTTCACTCCAATAGTTAAAATAGCTTAAGTCGTCAACATGCATAGAAAATGGCTCGTCAAAAACATGCATCTTCATCAGGCGGCATAAGTAAGTCATGACAAAACAGGCAGAAATATGGACCCATTCATGCCATTCTACGCTTGCTTCACAAAATAATCTGTTCCTTGGTAGAAATGAAAAGTCATATCCCCTGAAATTTGACTACATTTGAACAGAGCATGCTAACTATGACACCGATTTTGTCATTTTATGTAACAGCCAGCAATATTCCACCTCTAGTCACAGCAGACAAACCAGTGACTGATATCATGAGCATGCGCCTCACTGTCAGGCCATCCACATCACCAAGCCTGACCCCCTGATGTCGTTGCCTTTTATGACAACAAACGAATGCTGGGGACAATTCTAACTTGGAAGCTAACTTAGCTTAATGTGGGAGGAAAGCCCGAAGTGATGCAGGTCTCAGATGTTTACCACTCGGATGAACCCCACGAGCACGGGTATGGTGCTGACAATCTAGAAACAAAATCTGGGCGAACCGGGATTTGAACCCACAATCATCGGTTCCTGGCGTGCCCAAGGGACGCAACTCTGAACAGCAAATCGCAGCGCCTTAGACGACTGGGCCACCCATGGCCCCAATGGCCAAGATGAAGGGGGCAAACGTAAAAAATGATTTTTAAGTGGTCTTCACATGAACTGATGTCTTGTTGCCAGACCTACAGGTAACCTAACAGTAATCATCCATATTTGTCAACATTATTTGTATTTAAATAACTCAACAGGAAAAGGTTCATTTGTTAAAGCCACATTCGGGAATATTCCAGATACGTGACAGCAGCCTGTAAGTAGTCAAGTCTGGACCAGACAACCAGTGATTCATATGATGAAAAACAATCCACCCTGTCGGGGTATGTAGACCGGTGTCACCATTAGGTCGACGATCATTGGGATTCCGGGTTAGAATAGAATCCCAGGCTAATTTCACTGTTGGTTATCACAATATCATATTCTAGCTGATAAATCTGACAAGAAGCTATAATAATTTGTCCACTTATAGTGTATTGCCTCACTGAAATGACAGGCCATCATTGTTCAAGAGCGACTATCTTCGAGTATCCTGATACACACATGTGTCAATGCCTTGATGTAACTTGAGTGAAATGCATGCATGTAGTAACATGACAGTCATGACAGATAGAGCGATGTGGTCATTCTGGGATGTCAGGTCGTGGGTAAAAGGAGAGGGCTACCCGGGGCTCCAGTCATGGACAGAAGATTGGACATGACAGACCACAAGACATTTGCACACTTCAACAAGACACCAGAAACAAATGTCTGAAACATGCTACTTGGATCATCATCATCATCATCAATGAAACCAATGCCTACTCAAAAACCACTCAACCTTTTTGGTGGATGGAATGCATGGTGGTCTTGATAGGGTTGTCCAGTGTGTAGAATAACAAACAGTAAAGCACAAGGACTAAATAAGTTTGTGATGGTTTGCTAATTTTCCAGCACTGCTGGGTTTTTTAAATTCTGGTATAGTGTAGAGAAAAAGATCATTTTCAAGATATTAATGTCAGAAAATTGAAGACTGACACTGAAATACTTCTTCCATGTTCATTTAATTTGACGAGTTGAAAAATTAATCATTAACTTTAAAATATAAAAATTGCAATATTCATGGCATTTCCAAAATTCAAATTTTCATGTTGGGTGTCAAAATACAAGACTTTTCAAACCCATGTAAATCCTGTCGATAAAAAATGTCACCATACAATTTAAAGTAAACTTCAATACCACCATACATCGTGCACAACTCACCAGGATCTGGCCAATGGTGACTCCATACTTACTGTCAGATTACACAACCTTATTCACATGGAATGAACATGCCAGCCCCGAGGTACCACTCACCTGCGGATGTCTTGCCCATTGGTTGCTTTAGTCTTGACGGGTGTGTTGTCTCCTGGGCTGAAGGTGCTCCGACGCGGAATGCTCGGGTTTTGGGAAATGACGCTGTTCTTGGGTGTAGATGTACTGGAAGTGTGGGGAGTTTTCCTTGGCACTGTTGCACGACCTGGGCTTGGCGCAGCTATCTGGAAACACCAACAGAAGGATTCAATCTTTGTACTTCAAACCCTGCACAGCAGTTCAAACACTGTAATTGATGGGTAATGTCTGAGCAATGGAAATAATTTTGATAAAAATAGTTTGTCTTATGCTGCAGTCAGCCATATTTGAGCTACATCACAGCAGCTTGTAATTATCGGGTCTGGACCAGATAAGCCAATGATTGACTGGAATATCACACTCCAAAGGGGTACCAATCTCATTAAAATCCGACCTTAGTTCTCCCTGCCGCTAACGAAGATCTGAAGACATCCCATTAGGGGTCACGTCAGAACAACCTTTCATCCGACCAATCAGAGCGTCGCTTACCAGATCATGAAAGTGACAGTCAGAATGGAATGTGATTTCTAATCATACAACCTCGAAAACTTTAACACGGGGTATTCCGAACGATAGTTACAGGTTTAACGACTGAATCCATACAATCTAGACCATCTATTAGACATTCCAGAGTGTTCTTTCCATTAAGGTTCCAAATTTGTAATCGCGAATTTGTCAAAATATGTTTCCAAGCATAGTTGCAAATTTGAAATTAGTACTGTAAAGCACAAGAAAGCTGCCTTCTGATTGGTCATTCCATTGGTTGGTCAAATGGTCAAAGTTTGCGCGAGGTCGGTCAGACGTGACCTGTAATGGGATGTCTTCAGATCTTTGCTTTGAATTTAATGAGATTGAAAGGGGTACTGACACGCCATCAACCATGTCAACGAGTCTGACCACCTGATAACCTGATCCAGTAGTTATCGTTAACAAGCAATAAGAGCTCAGAACCTATTCAAATGCAAAACACTCACTGGGTTCCCTAGCCAGATAAACAACAGTCCATGACAATGGTATGACAATTCAGCAATATTCCCGCAATATGACGGCGGTCTGTAAATAATTGGGCCTGGACCAGACAATCCAGTGATTGAGATCATGAGCATCGATCTACCCAATTGGGATACGATGAGATGCATCAACCAAGTCAGCAAGCTTGACCACCCAATCCTGCTAGTCACCTCTTACGACAAGCATAGCCACCTCTTAGTGAGTATGGTTTTACACCACTTTTAGCAATATTCCAGCAATATCACGACAGGGGGACACCAGAAATGGGCTTCACACAATGTAACCATGTCGGGAATCGAACCCGGGTTTTCAGCATGACAAGAGAACACTTTGACCACTAGGCTACCTGACGGACCGCACCCTCTTAGGGCGGCATGGGTTGTTTTAAGACCTATTCTAACCCGAATCTTCACGGGTCCGGTGTACACTAACAGAATTAAATATGTTCCCATTTACCATGTGAACATATAAGTTAAGTTAAACTAAAAAACAGTATTTAAATACTCTACATCATATTCAAAATCTAAACAGGAATTAAGGATTGATAATCCACCATGACATTTGGTCACACAAACTATTCTGATGTTTGGGTTTATCATAAAAGTCATCTTAGAAGTTATTTGCATTACTGAAAACCTGTAATCTCCCCCATCACGGTTTGAGATGGTTGCAGACGGCCTACCTTGGGTGACTCCACAGTCACCGAGCCCCCAGATGGCGTTTTCATCCTGGCTGTTAATGTGCTTTCTTTTGTCGTTGACGAGGTGTGATCCACCGTGTTCTGACGCCGAGACGATGATGTAGATTGTGCTGCTGATGTGGTGCCTGCAAGAGGTGTCCAAGACATACAACACTGATACCAGTCAAGGGTAGCATAGCAGAGACAGAGAGATAGAGAGAATATACATAGCCTATGTCAGAGAAGTACACTTACTTTCTAAAGAAAAAGACAATCACATTAAAATTTGTGTCAATTTCATAAAACAAGTATTTTGTGTCATTTCAAATTGTCCAATGATTCCAATAAGAAATCTTTGGATAGTTAAATCTTAAAAAAGCCGCACTGTCTTACAATTTTCCCCCCACAAAACATTTTATCCTGCTACAAATCAAAACTATTTTGAGGATGGCATACTTGTATTGGATCTTGTTGAAGTAGTCACTAATTTGGCATGTAAGTTTTTCTTAAAAATGATTTCTTATCTTATACAAACATGCTACAACCTATGTTGCCTTGCATGAATAGTATTCCTCATATATATTTCATTATCCACTAACATATTAAAACACGTGTTCACCTAATCCATAAAAGCTTGTACTCGTAACACCAAAGAACATGCTCCAACACCACTATCACTATAACCAACTGACAGTGCTAGCATTCACAGCATCAAGGAACAGTTCACAGGACAAATGTACATATTCATTACGGGAAACGATATTCAAGAGGTATTAGACTATGACAAACCTTTATAACAAAGCATAGGGTTTTTAAAAAAACATAACCCAGCAAATAATGTTTTAGAATAGTAAGTAAAATAAATCAAAATTTAAAAAAAATATTTTTAAATATAAAAGAAATATGAAAAATAAATTAAAAAATATAAAAATTACTTATGACAAAGAAGAACATAATCCAAAATTTCTGAAATTTGTTTTAAAACAGATGAAAGTTCAAGGCACCAGGTTAATATCATAGTCTAATGTTATGACAGGGATAGTGCGGAGTGAAAAGAGGTGAAAAAAATCACGGAACACCAACGTTTGTTACTACCGTTGTTCTCTCCGCCATGACTAAACCGCCGACTCTTCTGTCCGGTGCTGCCACTGGTTGCTGATTGGCTGCGTGTAACCTTGTTTGGTGATTGGCTATTCGTGCTATTCTCCCCGTGTGGCCGATTTGGTGTCACTGGTATCCTACCTAACGACAAGTTGCTTCCTGACCTATCACTGCCTTCCAGCTGCAAACACACCAAGACAAAATGGTCACATCTCTCATGGCAACCCAAAGAAGAAAAACTACCCCAAGGTCAAAAGACATTATATAATGTACACAAAATGGGTGTATACCTACTGGAGTACAAAAGTTCTTTATGCAACATCAGTAATCTGGTGAGTAACTTATTTGAAGAAAATTCCATGAAGTCATAGTGTGCTTATTGAACTGTTTTACAGGAAAAAATTCTATTTCTGATTTTGTTTTGTGGAAAGGCTTTAAAAACCTGTTTACCATCTTTTACAATTCTGCATTTTTATGGTCTTGGGACTTTTACTGAACAATTGGTTTTGTTTGGCAAAACTAAAACTTTATACAATTCATTGATGATCTTAAATGATATTCGTAGTTTTTCTTTTTCTTCTTCAAATCCATCAAATATTGAGCCATCAGGCAAATAAAAATAAAATTTAAGTCTAATAATAAGTAGATTAGTAAATGTCGGTAAAGATTCCCAAATGGAATTACAAATTTCCCAATTCATCTTATACAGTAATAACTAAAGCTATGACTTTAGAGAAGTGCTTGTATTTCCCTGACCAATCTGACCAAACAACATTTTTTTCCCAAATTGCCTTGCAAAGGTATTTAAGTCGTAATCCTGGGCAATCCCTGTCTACTGCCCAAAGCATGAGCTATTCTGATGGAAGAGGGGCAGTGAGATATATTTGAGCTAAAACTGCCTTCAGGTTTGTTTATTGTTGAACACCGCACTCCGCAATTTTCCAGTTACAGGAAGGCGGCCTGTAAACAATCACATGAGGACCACACAAACCAGTGACTGATATCATGACCAATAAGCCATATCATCAGGTACGATGACACACTGTCAACAAAGTCACAGAGTCTGACAAATCACGACCAGCACAGGTTGCTGGAGACCTGTTCTAACCCAGAATCCCTACTGAGGATTGCAGCCGGTTCATATATATGCAACATGTCTCTAAGATCATGTCTTGTGGGTGGGCGACTGTGGTCAAACACGCCATATTATCACCTTCACCCTTAATTTGGTTGGTTTGTTGTTGTTTGCGGTCTGTAAATAATCCAGTCTGGACCAGCCAACCCAGTGATTGATATCATGAGCATCGATCCACGCGATTGGGTTCAATGACACACATCAACCAAGTCAGCGAGCCTGACCACCCGATCCCAAAAGTCGCCTCTTACGACAAGCATAGTAGCCTTTTACGGCAAGCATGGGTTGCTGAAGACCTATTCTACCCCGGATCTTCACATGTCTTCACCCTTAGTGATGGAGGGCCAGGCCATCAAAGACTCATGGCTGGACAGGTTTCACTGGAGAGGTGAGTTCAAAGCTACTCACGTCCGACGTCCTGCGTCCCAGCAAAAGATATGACGCCTGGATATCGTCATACTTCTGTAGCCTTAACGACTCCTCTATGTCTTTCCTGTTGTAGCCCATGTTCACCATGATTTCTGGAAAAACAATAACTCAAAATATACTATTTCTGAAATATACTTCTGTGCAGAAATTAATACAATGACATCACTTCATTACCTAGTCTCTCTGGTAGTAAATTATTTGAAATGTTTGACAACATACGAAACTTATCAGAACACCATAAAATCCTAAAGATTCGAATGAATTCCGAAAACAAAATACTGTGATATACATTACTCTTAATAAAAGAGTGTGTGCACATACACTCACAAAGAAAAACAGAACCATCAATATTTATATTTCAGAATAACCTAGCCAATGGAAACAATGACGAAAACAAACAGGCATTAAACGGCAAAGTAAAAGGGACGATTAATGATTGGTGTGGTGATGTCTCAATGAAGTCACTATGAAATATATACTACTCCAAAAATGTTAAACACCAGATTCTTTCAAATTACTAAAGTTAATTTGTCAAGCCATGACTATTAACTATAGCAATATGAAAGAATGGGATGATCCTTAACTTCTTTTGAGTAGCAGATGTGATGATCAGGGACTTATTGCTAACACCTATATCATTGCCAATGGGGATGTTTCATGAAACAAATCTTGCTCTCAACGGCAGAAATATTTTCAAACATATTTTCATTATTTACTGTTTGTGAAATGTAAAGAACATTTTCTCAGTTTCAATTCTTTACTGAAATACTGCATAATCGTAATCAATGTTCATAACAGACATTCAATTATTTTCTGTGATGTAAATAATAGTCTCATTCATATGGACGATCTAATAAGACTAAACAAAGAACATTCTTCAGTCAACACCAGATGTTTCAAAATAAATGTGAGCTCCCGTAAGTGCAAACCTTAAGAGGAGAGACATCTGTTTCAACACCAAACACAATTTCACTATTCACAATTGGCAAACGCTTTGAGAACAAGTAGAAAACACATTTCAGGCAATATGAGCCAAGGGTTTAACACTGCAAGACAAGAATATTAGGATTGCGCTATATATCACACTGGGGGCCCATACCACGGAGTTATCACAGTGCTACGTCTATTGAAAGCCTATCGTGAGTTAAGAAGGTTGAAGGGTTACAATTGCTCTTGTCGAGTCTGGTATGATGATGATGATGATGATGATGATGATGATGGTGTTATCCACATTTCTCTACATCTACTCTACTTTCACTTGAGCTATATATTTCTTGCTACTTGAAAAAATTCTATATGTGACGGGTTCAGTATTCATTAACCCAGTCGCCACTCCTCAAAACAAAAAAATATAATGTTCCAAATTCATACCTTGAAATTGCGTAACTGATTACTTCTAACAAAATAACAATTTTCTTCTCAACACACATCAATACTTTTCTTACTGTGACAATTTTGAATGGGGAAAAAGTCTTTGAGATTGAAACAAAACAAACATTTTTAGCAAACTTTGAAACAGAAGGGAGATCTGAAGTCAAGGTCATTTGAATGAAATCACACCAAATTTCAATAGTTGACAAAAAACAAGCTGAATCAGTCAACATGATTAAGAATGAATTGAAATTGATGGGTTAGAACAATACATCTGGATGAAATGTTAAGTTTTCAGGACTGTGCACTACAGTGATCTATATATTGAGAAGAAAACAAAGCAGCAAGGCAGAATATTCAAGGGCATGAAACAAGGATTCCACAAGAGGGATAATACCACCCATCGGACGAGGGGGAAAATATCACCATGGAGATACCGTACAAAACACATGCAGCAGCAACAACAAAATCGTTTCGAAAAATAAAAATAACATGCAATAATTGGAAACAAAATGAGAATAAGGTGCCGTATAGTTTAGATTAATGTGTGTATTACATACATTTAGCCTGGCAACTGTTAATGTCGTGGTTTTATACATTTTGTGATATATTGCTGTCACAAACATACAAATATTTCTTGAAATGCATACACACATCTTTTTTCAATAATTCTGTGGAAAAAGAGATGGAGAGAATCCTTGTTTGTGTTTCCCCACACAGTGCTAGGCAGAGGTAGCTGCAGCATTGCCATCTTGTCAAACAATAATTGCGCTTGAAAAAAATAAATCTATTTAGTTTTCAAGTGTCAAAGTAGGGGCTGAAAATATTTTCCTGTGGCATGCCAAAATTTGTACTTCCATTTTTCATCCTTGGGGCACATAATTTAAGAAGGATAGAAGCGGGGAAGTGAATTACACCATCCTCTTGAACTAAATAAACTTATTTTTCAGCTTTATCAATGATTTGACAAGACCCTAAAGACATAGACACATTTACCTATCCGCTCAGGATCAAGCTGATCCTTTGACGGCTCTTGGTAAGGTTTTAGTTCTCTATCTTCAAAACCAATATTCATCCAGCGGTCTTTCATAATACTCTGATCAAAAAATAAATCATGTTGTGTTTCATTCAAAGCAATACACGTACGGGTGTTTGACTTGGAAATAGAAGGACACGTGCATATTCGCTGCCAGGCTGATGAGGTAACACGGATATAACATATAAAGCCACTGAGAAGGATATACCATTGATATCACACGTGTAGCGTCTATAATGGTAAATAAATATGTGACAGCCAAAATAAGCAATATTTGTGTGTGTTTAAGCATAGATATGCTTTTAAATGTAAACATGTTGCTGATAAGTATACACACAAATGGTTTGAGCTACAACAGTAAAATGGGATTAGCTAGTTTCATGCATTTTTTGGGGGGGAACTTTGACTTCCATCCAGAACAGGAATATCGTGTCCCCAGCCTCCCTGACATGCTCCATGCACCAGTCCCTCCATTTCCAGACCTCCAACAACACTAATGTAACAACACAGAACTAGCTAACAGCCAGCGCCTGGGCTTCATACCTATTCGTACAGGATCGTTAAAATCTTGCGGAGGCTCAATAAAAGGTTTAAGTTCATCATCCTCGTAACCTATATTCATCCATCGGTCTTTCATTATGGTCTGTTGCACAAAGGGAAGAAGAGCAAACACATACATGATTAAAAAGTCCAAATGAGATCACTATGGCCACAGTTGAATGTCAATCCGTGTTTATAGTTTCAAATGTCAAATACATGCTGAAATCAAATCTCTTATATTCATGGCATTAAAGGCATGAAATTGAATTTTTCTACAAACATTTGGAACATAGCGTACTGACGTTTAGGGACAACAAACATATGGAACAAATGAATGTTGCATTATGCCACAAACAGCAATATTACAGCTTTCTTGTGGTGGATGTTAGTGAGTGAGTGAGTTGGGTTTAACGCCGCTTTTAACAGTATTCCAGTTATATCATGGCTTGTCAGCTTAATGTGGGAGGAAAGCCCCAAGTGATGCAGGTCTAAGAAGTTTACCACTTCGGTGAAACACATGAGCATGGGTATGGTGCTGACAAACCTACAAACATAATCGGGATGAACCGGGATTTGAACCCACGATCATAGGTTTCTGGCATGCCCAAGGGACGCAACTCTGCACAGCGAATCGCGGCGCCTTAGACGACTAGGCCACCTGTGCCTATTGGTGGATGTTAAGTATAAACTAATGGTCAATGGAGCAGTCAACTATCCACATGGAAGTGAGCAATATAAGAATCGGCATCAGCACGGTTTCAGTAAAGTAGCAACTCTACATGGGAACACCGAGACAGGTCTCACTAAAAGTCAGGTATTCACCGACTGAGTGAGTATGGTCTCATGCCACTTTGTGCAATCTTCCAGCAGTGTCACGGCAGGGAACACCAGAAATGGGCTTCACACATTGTAGTTGGTTGGTTGGTTGGTTGTTTAACGCCGCACTCAGCAATATTCCAGCTATATGACGGCGGTCTGTAAATAATCGAGTCTGGACCAGACAATCCAGTGATTGATGTCATGAGCATCGATCCACGCAATTGGGATTGATGACATGCATCAACCAAGTCAGTGAGCCTGACCACCGGATCCCGTAAGTCGCCTCTTACGACAAGCAAAGTCACCTTTTACGGCAAGCATGGGTTCCTGAAGACCTATTCTACCCCGGAATCTTCATGAGTCTCACACATTGTACCTATGTGGGGGTGGTCATCTGAACAAGGAGCCTTATGCAACAGCCATTGTGACCAGCCAATCATAGGCAATACACTTTAAATCATGGGATACTTCCTGATGACAGTCCCTAAATCTCGAGAATACAGATAATTTGTCATCAATACAATTTCTAATATAAGGAAAAAGATTTACTGATATAATATGAAAATCAATAATTATGAAACAATTTAAGAAATTGTCTACAAAATGATTTTTAATAAGACTCACCTCTAAACTGGCCCTTTTTAATGGATTTAAAACTAAAAACTTCTTCAGTAGATTCTCACAGTCTGTTGACATATAGAAGGGTATTCTATACTTTCCTCTCAAAACCCGTTCTCGTAGCTCCTGCAAACACAACATCAGACATAAGCCTCCCTTTACTTTCAGGTGTAACTATTGAACGTTTTTATGCATTAGGGAATCGCTTGAACGAGATCACAGATCAGTATCCAGCGTTATAAATTGGCACAAGTCCTGTAGTCCTTGCAAAACGGCTCAATAGTTAAGGTATCATAAGGACCAGTAGAAATTTGCCATTATCATGATTATTAATGATTTTGCTATATGTTATCATTGTAAGAACTCTACCGTTGCTATTTCATTTGTCAAATATGTAAAAGATTTTAATATCTGTTTATAAGAAATACAAAGATTAACCTGATTATTTCTAAAATACAACATAAATATTCAATTGTTCAGCAAGATCCACACAAAAAAACAACACTGGTTTGGGAACCAAGACCCCATTGTACAAAGTGACCTCAGTACAAAGTGACCTCAGTACAAAGTGACCGTTGTACAAAGTGACCTCAGTACAAAGAAACCTCAGTACAAAGTGACCTCGGTACAAAGTGACCTCGGTACAAAGTGACCTCGGTACAAAGAAACCTCAGTACAAAGAAACCTCAGTACAAAGAAACCTCAGTACAAAGTGACCTCAGTACAAAGAAAGGGATGCAAATTACTTGACAAGTGTCTACTACCCTGACTTGTGATAGATAAAAGGACACACTTTGAAAAGCCTATATTTCTACACGGGATACCCTTAGCATCACATAAATTGCCCCGGGGACAAGAGAAAATCCAACAAGAGTTTGCCACTAACATGGCTATATCCCCCGCCCCTGTTGCAGAATTTATGACATAATTAAATCTAAACAAACCCTAACCTTTTTTAACCGAGGTGGAACTTGTCATGGAAATTTTAAAAAAAAGAAGAGTTTGGAACCTAAGTCCATCTTGTTGCCATGGAAACGTAAAAAATAAAAATTTCTGAAATTTCTAAATGCACCAGTTCAGCATGTACCTGACAAACCTGCAAAGTTTCATGAAAAAATACAGAACAGTTTATGAGTTATGCTCCGGAAACGAACCCAACCCTCACAGAACCTAAGTCCATCTTGTTGCCATGGAAATGTAAAAAATAAAAAATTCTAAAATTTCTAAATAGCAAAAGGCACCAGTTCAGCATGTAGCTGATAGACCTGCAAAGTTTCATGAAAAAATATTGAACGGTATCTGAGTTATGCTCTGGAAACGAAATGTGACGGACGGGCGGGGGATAATAATGGAATTCCTCATTGATAAATAGCATTTGAAGGCGTAAATTTGAACCAGTTCTCAAATGCTTAAAGATTGCTACAAATTGGAACTGAATAAAACCGACAGAAAATGTCAGCATAGTAAACATATTTTTCCCCTTCAAGCAGGACTGGCTACTAACTCTGAGGACAAGTGTTTTGTTTGTTTGTAGTTTAATGCCGCACTCAGCAATATTCCTGCAATATGAAGGCGGTCTGTAAATAATCAAGTCTGGACCAGACAATCCAGGGAGGGACATCATGAGCATCGCTCTACGCGATTGGATACAATGACATGCATCAACCAAGTCTTTGAGCCTGACCACCCTCCCGTGAGTGGCCTCTTGCAACAAACAAGGCTGAAGCTCTGGACTTACAAGACTATTTGTCAATAACACTTACTTTTAAATTTTGTCCGTCAAATGGCAAGGAGCCACTGACCAATGTATATAATATGACACCTAAACTCCACACATCAACTTCTGGTCCATCATACTTTTTGCCTGTAAAAAGAAAGGATACAATGTTTTACTCACAAGGGAATAAAAAACAATAGCAGGTGGGCACAAAGTAGTCGATGGAAAAAATCATCTGAACACTAGATCATACAAAACCAGAATATATATATATATATATATACACAACTCTAAACAAGATGAGGACACCTCATTTTTCTCAGTCTTTAATTAATCTGTGTTGGTCATAACATATTACTGTATTCGACGTAATAAGCACCCAGGGCGCTCTCAAAATTAGAAATAGGGGGCTCTTATCAGAAAGAAACAGAGTTGAAAGATAAATTTTGTGGTTTATGCTGACAGCCTGAAATGTTTTTGTACAACAGATATATTTTACCAGAATATAATTTCCCCTAATTAAGGTTGCATATAACACACGAGTGCATATTATACGCGAATAAATAAGTCTTGTGTACATTGAACAATCGGAAGGGGTGCTAATTGGGATGGTTCACTAGCCAATATATTAGCAAATATCGCCGTGAGCGCTTGTTACGTCGTATACGGTAACTATAATCATGAAAACACTGAGTGTTCCTTAAAACTTCTTTTGAGTAAACATATTACAAATAGTTTTTAAAATTCAGATTTCTTTGGAATGATTGCCTTTATTAGAGTATATTCAAGATCTTCAGAGGATGTTCACAAACATCCTATCTGGAGAATTTCTCACCTTGAAATAACTCTGGCGCAGCGTATGGCGGACTACCACAGAATGTGTCCAACTTGTTTCCAGGTACAAACTCATTGCTAAAACCAAAGTCTGCTATTTTGATATTCATATCTCCATCTAGCAACAAGTTTTCAGCCTGAAACACAGAATAAAATACACATGTCAAATATTTATTGACATTGCAATATATCAAATTTATCAGGCAAACACTTCCTAAGTGAACTCTCACAGTTGTGAGATGTTACGTTACTCTGGAATGTGTAGGCGTCATGACACAATCGATGTCACATGCTTCCATGATAACTGAACTAGCTTGGCAGAATGTGGAAAGAACACACCCAAAATCAACTAAATCAAAGTTGTTAGGATAAATATTGATCCAACTTAATATTTAATTAATGTATCCATTTCACCAAGCTGAATGGCACATTTTCAAATTTGGGATTGAGAAAAAAAAAAGAAAGGAAAAATGAGCAGTGACTAGTCTAAGAGTTTTTCGATTTCCAGGATTCGAATCCCAACAAATCACATTTTTCAACCAAACAGATTGCAACACACAATGCCAATCAATTTCCAATTCTGCGTAAATTATACTCACTTTTAAGTCCCTGTGTACTATGTGCTTATGATGACAATACTGCACAGAGGAAACAATCTGAAAAAGAAAATGAACATCATAAAATCTGTTTCACACAATCTTAAACACTTTCAACCATGTACCTGACATACAACACATGTAACTTTGCCCCCCCCTACAAGACGATACAGGAGATAGCTACTTAATTCAAAATAAAAACACTCTGCCTCTATCAAATGTGCTTGGAAAATCGAAAACTAGCCACGGTAAATAACCCAACTGCTCAATAGCTTGTGCCATTAAGAGAAATGGTTTAATTACCAAGCTGTGTTTACTCTCCTTTAACATTCTTGGATAATTTAAAAAAATATTTTTTGATACAATTAAAATTGGTGACAAGAGAGTGAGCATGGACCTTGTTGTAACACAGTTATGCAGCCACAGTATAGACACATCCACTACAACACTGAACCTGTGCTGGATTAGATGGCTAAGAGTGAGTGAGTACAGTTTTACGCCGCTTTTAGCAATATTCCAGCAATATCAAGGCGGGGGACACCAGAAATGGGTTTCACAAATTGTACCCATGTCGGGAATTGAACCGGGGTCTTCGGCGTGACGAGCGAACGCTTTAACCACTAGGCTACCCGACCGCCCCCTCAGCTTAAAATTATTGTGCTGTCACTGATTGGAAATGTTGATATTCTGACTGAAAATTATTGAACTAGAAGCTCTCTAAGTACTTGGTGAAAGGTTATTCTTATAGGTATCAACTGTTCTTATTAAAATGATAAGCACATTTCAAAGGCTTGACAAAAGAACTTGGCAAAAATTTCAAGGTTTGTCAATCATGTTTGAACGGATATTCCTCATTTGAGCCTGATTTATCTTGGGATTATCATTGTATGGATGTATTGATCTGTCCACGACCTTTCATAGCTCTCTTGTCTGCTGGTTTTGTCATATCAGACATGTGCGTGGAATTACTGAACAGTTTCAAGCTGCCATGCAGCTGTGATTGTAAGACTCAGACAGTGAACAGTGAAAACGGGAGACACCAGGGCCCACTTGCACAAAGCGATCTTAGCGCTAAGATGATCGTAACTCCCATACTTTAGCATAGGCTTACAATAGTCTTAGCGCTAAGATGATCGTAACTCCCATACTTTAGCATAGGCTTACAATAGTCTTAGCGCTAAGATCGCTTTGTGCAAGTGGGCCCTGGTGTCACAGTCATGCTGAGTGAGTGAGTGAGTGAGTTGTGTTTAACGCTGCTTTTAACAGTATTCTAGTCATATCACGGTATGTCAGCTTAATGTGGGAGGAAAGCCCCAAGTGATGCAGGTCTTAGATGTTTACCACTTCAGTGAAACCCAGGAGCACGGGTATGGTGCTGACAAACCTAGAAACATAATCGGGGCAGTCATGTAGAAGTCAGTGAAAGTAACTTCTCCATCTACTATTTGAAGGCAAGATAAAGGAATCTGAACTATAAATATTCATACAACCCATGAGCGGATCTACCCGTGGGGATTGCAGTAAGAATATATAGAACCTTATGCTTGTCATAGGAGGCGACTAAATGGATCCTGTGATGAGGATCTATGACTTGGTTGATTGCATGTCTTTTTATCTCAACTGTGTGGATTGCTGCTCATGATGTCTATCACTAGATTGTCTGGTCCTCCACATTCGGTTACATAGACGGCTGTTACATAGCTGGAGTGAGGGTTAAACAGAAAAGAAGAAGAACACAAAAAAAAGGCAGAGAACGAACAACTCACTGCTGACACTGTCAAAGGCAACACAATGAAAGGAACTGTGGACTAAAAAAGTCATTTCACTGCAGGTTCAGTATTATTCCACAACTGAACTGCGCTCGAACAGATGAGTGAGTGAGTGAGCAAGTTGGGTTTAACTTCGCTTTTAACAGTATTCCAGTTATATCACGGCGTGTCAGCTTAATGTGGGAGGAAATCCCAAAGTGATGCAGGTCTCAGACGTTTACCACTTCGGTGAAACCCACAAGCACGGGTATGGTGCTGACAAACCTAGAAACAATCGGGGCGAACTGGGATTCGAACCCACAATCATTGGTTTCTGGCGTGCCCAAGGGATGCAACACTGCACAGCGAATCGTGGCACCTTAGACGACTGGGCCACCCCCCCTCAAACAGATGAACAGGTAGGATTATCTTGTGTGGAACTAGTGATATGCTACCATGTGCCCATATTCATTCAGTTTCCACATGAATCAATAAGGGATTTATTCATTAGGTCTGCCAGTGTATGAGACAGGGTTGTAGACCCTCTCCAAGTAGGGCCATGGCCTGCCATAGTCCGTCGTCTCTACAAACACAGGCCTCAACTTGTAGGTATCATTTCTTTTAACACTGGTTGCAATATTGAGAAACAACCAGTTCTTGTAAGGCATCCATGATGCAGATATGGAATTCACAGCAATATGCATTAGCATCATGTAAGATTGAGTACATCCATGGTGGATTTATGATTATGGTGCTGGTAATTTATGCAATAAAACATCATCCTCTTAAATATTTACCTCATTTCATACCAAAGGCCTTGTGTGTCATTTTAACCCATTGATAGTAGGGCTGGGACGAGTCCAAATTTACATCCCGGGTACCCAAACCCCTATTACCCGACCCTACCCGGGTACCCGCTGTAGATCTCAAGAGATAGGTAAAACATGTCCGATTGGGAATAGTTTGACCGTACTCCTGTCAAAATAAATTTAGATGCACGTATAAACCGATCTTGCCATGCATACGCTGACGTTGACGGATGTTTTATCATCATGCAAACATATAAAGTCAGAAGGAATGTGTGCAAATTCAGAAAGAAATGTGAACATTTATCACCTATAGTGTAACCATAGAGTTCTAGATAATATTCGCCAGGTCCTACTCAGTACCCACCCGACCCGGGTACCCGAGTTACCCGTCCCAGCCCTAATTGATAGGATTCATCTGCATTGTTTCTCTGGTCCAACACTAGGAAATATGATGTACTGTATTCAACATAATTAGCACCCCGCTCTAATAAGTGCCGACGGTGATATTTTCTAATATATTGGCTAGTGAACAATCCCAATTAGCACCTCTTCCGATTGATCAATGTACACAAGACTTATTTATTCATGTATAATACGCACTTGTGTGTTATATGCACCCTTAATTATGGGCAATTAAATTCTGGAAAAATGTATGTCGTATATAAAGGCTTAGCCTTGCTTCCTACTGGCAGAAGGCTTAGCCTTGCTTCCTACTGGCAGCAAACGTAGCCTTGCTTCCTACTGGCAGCAAACGTAGCCTTGCTTCCTACTGGCAGCAAACGTAGCCTTGCTTCCTACTGGCAGCAAACGTAGCCTTGCTTCCTACTGGCAGCAAACATAGCCTTGCTTCCTACTGGCAGCATACGTAGCCTTGCTTCCTACTGGCAGAAGGCTTAGCCTTGCTTCCTACTGGCAGCAAACGTAGCCTTGCTTCCTACTGGCAGCAAACATAGCCTTGCTTCCTACTGGCAGCAAACGTAGCCTTGCTTCCTACTGGCAGCAAACGTAGCCTTGCTTCCTACTGGCAGCAAACGTAGCCTTGCTTCATATTGGCAGAAGGCTTGCTTCATACAGGTAGTAGACGTAGCCTTGCTTGATACAGGTAGTAGACGTAGCCTTGCTTGATACAGGTAGTAGACGTAGCCTTGGTTCATACAGGTAGTAGACGTAGCCTTGGTTCATACAGGTAGTAGACGTAGCCTTGCTTGATACAGGTAGTAGACGTAGCCTTGCTTGATACAGGTAGTAGACGTAGCCTTGGTTCATACAGGTAGTAGACGTAGCCTTGCTTGATACAGGTAGTAGACGTAGCCTTGCTTGATACAGGTAGTAGACGTAGCCTTGCTTGATACAGGTAGTAGACGTAGCCTTGGTTCATACAGGTAGTAGACGTAGCCTTGCTTGATACAGGTAGTAGACGTAGCCTTGCTTGATACAGGTAGTAGACGTAGCCTTGGTTCATACAGGTAGTAGACGTAGCCTTGCTTGATACAGGTAGTAGACGTAGCCTTGGTTCATACAGGTAGTAGACGTAGCCTTGCTTCCTACTGGCAGCAAACGTAGCCTTGCTTCCTACTGGCAGCAAACGTAGCCTTGATTCCTACTGGCAGCAAACGTAGCCTTGCTTCCTACTGGCAGCAAACGTAGCCTTGCTTCCTACTGGCAGCAAACGTAGCCTTGATTCCTACTGGCAGCAAACGTAGCCTTGATTCCTACTGGCAGCAAACGTAGCCTTGCTTCATATTGGCAGAAGGCTTGCTTGATACAGGCAGTAGACGTAGCCTTGCTTGATACAGGTAGTAGACGTAGCCTTGCTTGATACAGGTAGTAGACGTAGCCTTGGTTCATACAGGTAGTAGACGTAGCCTTGCTTGATACAGGTAGTAGACGTAGCCTTGGTTCATACAGGTAGTAGACGTAGCCTTGCTTGATACAGGTAGTAGACGTAGCCTTGCTTGATACAGGTAGTAGACGTAGCCTTGCTTGATACAGGTAGTAGACGTAGCCTTGGTTCATACAGGTAGTAGACGTAGCCTTGCTTGATACAGGTAGTAGACGTAGCCTTGCTTGATACAGGTAGTAGACGTAGCCTTGGTTCATACAGGTAGTAGACGTAGCCTTGCTTGATACAGGTAGTAGACGTGGCCTTGCTTGATACAGGTAGTAGACGTAGCCTTGGTTCATACAGGTAGTAGACGTAGCCTTGCTTCCTACTGGCAGCAAACGTAGCCTTGCTTCCTACTGGCAGCAAACGTAGCCTTGCTTCCTACTGGCAGCAAACGTAGCCTTGATTCCTACTGGCAGCAAACGTAGCCTTGCTTCCTACTGGCAGCAAACGTAGCCTTGCTTCCTACTGGCAGCAAACGTAGCCTTGATTCCTACTGGCAGCAAACGTAGCCTTGATTCCTACTGGCAGCAAACGTAGCCTTGCTTCATATTGGCAGAAGGCTTGCTTGATACAGGCAGTAGACGTAGCCTTGCTTGATACAGGTAGTAGACGTAG